ATCTGCATAAGGGTCTTGGGAAAGTGAAGAAGAGGTGGTGATGTTGGTGACAACAGCGCTTCCTTAGTAGTGGGAGGCCGGTGACATTTAAGGCAGAAAACACGGCAGGCTTCCTGTGTTCCTCTTTTTGACCAATTTCATTTGGTTTTGCTTTCTGACAGATATGAGCTTCACTGTTCAAGAGAATGCACCAAGTTTTAAAAACAAGGTGGTTTTACATAGTGCAGAACAGGAATTAATTTGAGAAGTACAGTTTAAAAAAAAAATTTTTTTTTTGAGACAGGGTCTCATTATGTAGTTCAGATGGCCCTGGAACTCACTATGTAGCCCAGGCTGGTCTCAAACTCACAGCGATCCTCCTGCCTCAGCCTCCCGAGTGCTGGGATCACAGGCGTGCACCATCACACCCGGCTTTGTAAAGTTTTAAATTGGAATTGTGAGGGTACAGTTTCACCTACTTAAGGATTTTCGTTACTCTACTGTGTTGAATTTTCACTGGCTTCTTTTGTTGAATATAAAATATTCTGTGATCGGTTGGGTCAAAAGACCCAATCAAAGTACACAGAAAGAGCAAAGAGGAGGAATGAAAAAATGTTTTTAAAATCCATAATCAAACACTGGAGTCATGAATCCACATTGTTGGGAAGGGTGCTGTATGCACTCGTGACCCTGAGATGGAAGCCAGCAACTTCCTGATAAAAATCTAGAAATACGACATCTCTCTTGGGCATGCTGTCAGGATGGATGAGATGCTTGCTTTCCAGGGTTAGGTGATCTTTGCAAAATGCCACTGCAGGTTCGGCTGATGTAATTTTACTTTTATGAAAAAAGTTTCAGAACCCCCAGACATTACACTTATCAAAGGCTCGTGTGGGGGAGTTGAAAGACTGTAGCATGGCTAACAGGATTAGAATTTCTCCGGTCCTACTGTGCTATTATTTCTAGGGGTGCAGCCTTTGCTGTCTCTTTGAAGCCCTGATTCTTTAGGTCGGGGATCAGTGTATTTTTGGAGCACAGGATGGAGACAGACAAGGTATCTGACGGGTCACACAGCAAAGCAGACAGTGCAGTCAGAATCACACAAGACACGCACGACGGGGAGACGGCACCTTCTCTCCCTTTTCTCCTAGGTCGCCCTTCTCGCCTCTTGGACCAGGGAAGCCCTGAGGGTAAAAAGCAAAGCCAAGAAAGCTATTGGTGTAACTGGCAAATCACATTGGGAAGAGAAGAAAACATCCTAGAGTTTCATTGATTTGAACTCAAACATAAAACATGACATGCTGAGCCATCTAAAGACTTAGATAAAACAGTGCCTGGAAGTGAGGGTCTTCTGTCCTCTCCATTTCATGTGTGCAGCAGATTTCTCACTTTTGCTCCTAAGAAATACAGAGTGGCAAGAACTCTGGAGCGCTCATTTGAATCCCAGCAAGGGTTTGGGCAAGTCACTTACCTCTGCGTTTTCGTTCTTTGAGTGTGAAATGGGCTAATGAGCATCTATCACGTAGCCACGTGAGTGTTAAGTGACGTAACCCAAGACCAGATGAAGAGCAATGTAAAAGATAATAGGCAGTGATCTTTCTCCAACAAGGGGGACTGGGCGATGGGGGGCATGAGACAAGGAATTAAGATGTGCCCTCTACCTGCACTGACCCCACAAGGAAGGTCATCGTCACGTGCTGCAAAATGTACTGAAGAATCATACACAGCGAAGTGCATAATAAAGTACCAGGCCCATGCCTGCACAGAACAGGGCTCAATGAGCAATGACAACTGTAACTTTTCCATCTGTGTCATTATTCACATGCTACAGGATAAGCGCCATTGGTTTCTAGGGGCATTTAGTTTGGCCATTACCTATTTTAATAGAATTTTGTTAGCATGAGAAAACCTACATAGGGATTTAAGAGGAAAAATACTGCATAACAGTGTTGAGGATAAATGTAATATCCTTTCCTTAAGGCTAGCATGGGAGATGTGTTGATTTTAGGCATATTTTTTTCTACAAGTGGATTATGCTGATATTGCATATCCTAAACTCAGGGAAGTATTTTGAATTTCCAGTATCCACCATCAGTTGTGAATCTTTTATACTAAATGTCTTTAGTGCTGTCCGCATGCACAGCAATATATGTTCTGTGCATGGTGATATGCACAGAAAAACAAGTATTTTTGCTGTTCATGATGGAGACCACCAGAATGTGTTACAATAGGAAGGTGTGTATCATACACATTACTTACATCAAGACCAGGCTCTCCATCTTTCCCCTGCCAAAGAACCATAGTTCTACATTAGTGTTCCTGAGTTTCAGGAATGGATTATGATTTCACTGGAGGCTTCCCGGCCATGCAACACTGGGATTAGAACAACTACTTCTGGAATGTGAAAAGTATTCTCTATTGATTAGTAACACAAACTCTTTTAAATCAAGTGAGGAGAGCACAGGGGCCGCAGGTAAGAGCCGTGGAATTTGCTCTGTCTTATGTTAGTTAAATAGCTTGGTAGTTGGCTGGAGTGTAATGCTGGCCACTCACACGCTCAGTTTGGGGGTGAGGTCACAGGCAGAATCACTGGGTGATGTGGAAAACCACCAGCACTAACAGAGGGTGTGAACCGATGCCACTGTTAACAGCTTAGTGGTTAGTTAGTACATGTGAAGACTGTTTGTAGTTTCACTGTGGCTAGATGTGCCCCTTAGTGTAAGTATGACAGGCCTGAAGGTCCTAACTACTTTTCAGTAAGCTTTGTAAATGATCATTCCCCGATATAAAAGGAATGGTGAGACTGTTAGGCAAAACCGATAAATTCACCCCTGTGGGCTGATAGCCCTGGGTCACCGGCTGTGGGTCCCCCCAAAGTTCCCAAGAAGCCGCTCTGATTCTACTTGATTTTGACCCTATCTCACAATCGGCATCTGAAATAATCACGGCTTAGATTATTTAAGCTCAGCCAAAGCATGTGAAAGGCAAGGAAGGGTACACCATTCCTTGGGTCCTACCTGCCCTGCTGAGTCAGTCGTCGCTAAAGCCAAGGTCCTGTTCTTGAAGTAAACTTGACCCCTCAGTTTGATTCTGGGTACTTAGGAATTTTCAGGTCTATAATGCTATCAGTATTCTAAGCTCTGAAGATCACTGCTTTTGTGGTGGTTTGGAAAGGTGAGAAGCATGAAGGCCTGGTAAATACCCATTTCATGTGGAGGATGATTTTTACCAGCAAGAGCCGTTTTTCACGAATGACCCTTGGGAGCCACTGAAGTGTGACAAAGGCCACACACGACAAACCCTCCACACCCCTGTGGATATGGTGGCCTTTCCAGGAGGGGCAGAGAAGAGTGGGCAGTCAGTGGCTCAGGTGGGCACCGACTGGCAGGGGAATCCTGCTTCAGGTGGGGTGGGGTCCATGCCGTAGCTGTCTCGGGACCAGGTGTGAGGCGTGGGGCACTAACTGTACTGTGCAGAACTAGTGGGTCCTCCTTGCCTCTCCAGTGTGGTGAGTTGGGCCCACGAGGGGAGGGTTAACCGAGTCAGTGGCAGGACACAGAGAGGCATGCTGAAGGCAGCGACCACTCACGTGACCGGAAACTCACAGGCAGGCCGTAGGGCCCTCTGGGTCCTGGCTCTCCCGCGGCTCCTTTTTCTCCCTGAAAGGAAACGTGGAAAGTCTAATTCATACATGTGCATCTGTGAAGAATGGGAAAAGATACGGTCAGTGTTTATATTTAAAAGGAGTTACAGTAAGGACACAGTGCCACGAGTCCTCAGAATATTCTCCCACCCTTCCCTCCACCCCTGCAGCAGCTCTGGAGTCCTCTTCTGGGAGTGTCTTTAGCTGTGCTGTCTTGGTTGCCTCGATGTCTTGAACTGATTCAAACCGTTGACTTTGGAGGTGTTTGAGTCAGGGAAGAGCCAAGTGCAGGGTGCCAGGTGAAGGAGGCGGATAGGAAACTGATGTTTCTATGCACCCGCCTTTCCACTGGATGGCACTCGGTGGCGGCAGCAGCGCTCAGTATTTTTGATCACATCCCATCGTTCCAGTGGGCCTTGGCCTATTAGTTATGATTTTTAAGACAGCAGGGAGTGTGTGCGCGCGTGCTTGTGTGGTGGGAAAGGCGGGGTCACAGAAGCCGGAGGAGGCCTAGTTGGAAATAACCCCACAGATGACAGTGGCTCTGCTTTGGAAAATCTCCATCCATTACTTTGATGTCACCAGTCCCCTCCTCTGGAGAACTTTGGCTTTGTTTTGCTTTTAAAATAAATGTGCTGTGGCTTATTTGAATAAATGCGCCCCTGGCACGTTGCTCTGTGAAACCCCTCGGTGGATCAGCCCACCCCACAGGCCATCCTGCTTCTCCCGGCAGCGGAGGCTTCAGTGGGAGATGCGAGTCCCATGCTGGGCGCTCTGGGAAGGTGTTCTCCTGCCAGAAGGCGGCCTGGGGAGTCTCTGTCTCTGCCCCGTCTCCCTGAGGGGCGCTCGGAACTGCGGCCGCCAGCTTGCCTAGTCAAAGACAAAGCCCCAGCAGAGCCTAGAGCCACCCTATTTTGTGTTAAGAAACAACAGATCTCTTCATCACTTAAGTCATTTTGAGTTTAGGTTCTGTCTGCTGAAGCAAACGGCACCATAGGGATTCCACGTGGAGCACCTTGGGAAGGAAGTAGTAACCCCAGTGTGAGAGCGTAACTTCCTGTCCTGGACGAGGAATTCCAAAGGACTTTCCAGCCTCTCCACCTGACACATGGCAGAATTTGAAGCAGGTGCGAGGGCGGATGAAGGCTTCCGAGGAAGCAGAGGCTGGAGGTGCTGAGGGCCGAGGCCGAGTGCTGTCACTCACCTCTGAGGACCGCGTACCCGGCCCCGGGACGCCTCCTTCCTCTCTGGCTGGCTCATTTCCTGCAGTGCGTTCTTTGCTGCCCCGGGAAATCCTTCTGGGATGCCGCCTCCTGCCGATTTCTACTGCTTTCAAACCTCAAACTTCAAGGGTCTCCACCTGGCACCGCACTGAACTCAGAATCTCTCTGCAGCCTGGCACTTGATCCGGGAAGATAGGTGACCCGCGGAGCCCTTCACACTCACGCCCTGTGACTGCAACTGCGCCTTCAAACATTCTTAGCGACTTCAGTTGCTCTTCGGGCTAATCCTGCCCAGCACGGAGACCCGATACTCTTGTGACACCGAGGAGAATCGAAGTAGCAGCTGATTTACCCAATGGTAAACCCACTCGAGCCCCAGGCGTTCTGCCAAAAGACTTGCCGCTCCGGTTTTAGGACAGGAGCTCAGTTACTTAGCAGTGCTTGAAGCGCATCTGCCTTGGCTGCGTCGAGGCCCTTAGCTCTTAAATATGTTTGATTAAGGTGATCCTGAGAAGCTGCCAGTTGGACCTCTGGGAGACAGCAGGAGGTTCCGGTCTGGCCTTCCCTTTGGACTCGGCTATTCGCCTAGCCGTTTTTGGACACGCCAGCCTCCCTCCCTGAGCGCACCCCGAGTCACTTGTTTGCTCTTTGGCCGTATTCTCTGCTTATTTCTGACACAGACATTTTTTTCCCTTCTCTGAAATCACTAGATACCCTCTTTGTAGCAGAGAATAGGAGTATTAAAAAAAAAGTCTAAGATAACAAATCAATTTATAATGGTGTTCAATGCAGAGAGGCAACATAGGCTTTTTGTAAGGAGGAGTTCCACGTCACACTCCAAGTAGTGCTATGCCTTGCACAGCTGATTACTACAGGAGCGAGTTCACTTTACAGGACACAGCGTCAGGGAACGGAAAGGTGCATCAAAGAAATGACCACAGAGCCCTCTTTCTTACGAAAAGGCTCGCAGGCTGATGAAAACTACGTAGTCTTAAAGAGACCACAGGCTTGCCGAGTGACTCTCGAGTTAGATACGTTCTTTTACGTCCTCTCCTAGGTGGCGGGGAAATTGATGACACAGTTCTATGCAGATGCACACAAAGCTTCCATGTTTTTCAAGGTGAGGAAAAGAGAAAGTGGGAGAAAAACAGACAGACAGAAAAAGAGCTGCTGATGTTGCACGTTCCTTTGTGTTGTACATTCATCTCCCATCCGCAACATCTTTTTCCTTTCTTTCTTCTAAGGATATGGACACGTGTCTGAGCCATAGAGAGGTTAGTGAAAGGTTTTTGTTCTATAAGAACTGAAATTATTTCCTTATGGCTAAAGAAACACAGGCTATCCTTTAGCTCAAAACAATGGGAGCACGTGTAACTATGCAAAGAGGAATGCTTCGGTTTTGTAATTTCCTTTGGAAAAATGTCGTAACTTACTCTGAATGAATACAGTAGCTTTATATTAAAGATTATCAGGCAGACTATGTAGTCCTGGAAATTGTAGCTCCCTCCGTTGCCTTCAACTTTCTGGATGAAGGCCAAATGACAATACCTTCCTTATGGGTTAAGGAGGAAAAATCAGAGCTATTTATTTCAGCTATGTCAATGTATGCATTGTTTTTATTAAGGCAGCCCTGTTTTATTTTGTACTCAGTGGTTTTCTATTCTTGCTGTTTGTGGAGACTGAGTAGAACGTAACATGGTATATTTTCATTTAGTCCTAGGTAGTCCTTTATTTCTTCTGGAAAAGGAGCAGCTCGAATTTGGCTTATATGAAAAAGCCACGCTATGTTTCCCGTAGTACGCAGCTTAAGCTAAATACCTCTGGGGTAACTTACTCTTTCTCCTTTGGGACCGGCGGGGCCATGGGGTCCCATAGGACCATCTGTACCCTAGAGAAAGATAAAAATAAAATGATATGAGACACGTGACAAGGGCCGCAGGAAAGACAGTTGTGATTTATCCTGGACCTTTCCTGGTGGGTGATGACTTAGGCTGTCGGTGAGACACACGTCTTTATTCTCCATCTTTTCAGCCCAGTGGCTTTTGAGAAACTCATGCTAAAGGGATAAAGTATATGACTGAACATTTCAACGAAGAGTCTGCACAAAGAGCCATGCATCCTATTGAGTTAGAGATTTCCTCCCTGACTAAAGGGGGCGGCATCTTCCCTTTACCCCTAACCTTAACAAGAGAGATGTGACTGTCCTTTCTTCCTGTGTCCTCTTCAAGTCCTTTCCTCTTTCACTGCCACCCTGTACAGGCAGGCTCGGAAGCCTCATGCTGCACCATTTAAGTGGTTTGAAGAGTTACATGAGTAGAAACAATAATAAATGAGAACGATGTTTAACTGTTCAACTCAGAATTGGTGCAGCTGTTGGGAACAGTGGTGGCTTACGGGGAAGAAACTGTTCTTCTTCTAGGTTGTATGGCAGTGGCAAACCAGGAACTGGGATGATTTAATGGTTCAACTGACTTCCGGCCTCTGGATTCATTAGCGCTAGGATTTTGGTGGTAGAAGAGGTAACATCTGGATGAACGCAAGGGACCTCAGGCACAGTGGGAATTAATGGCTGCTTGAAGCAGTGTGTTGGAACTGAAAAACTTGGAATTCCTTTCAGATTCTTAAAAATGTACAAGGGTGTCAAGTACACTTGGTCATTTGTCAATATTTGCAAATGTAGGAGCTATGTCGGCATTTTTCTATAGGACCTCATTTCTATTCCATGAGTTTATTCTGCTAGAGTCTTGTAATGTGAAAGAATTCAGTTTCAGATTCACCCTAATCTTAGGGAATTTTCATCATCTTAAAGGGTGTTCCTGTCTCCACTCAAAATACATCTTTAGAAAACTTGAAACTATTGAGTATCTGGGGCTAAAATCAAGGAGAGTAAGCTCTCTAATCTCTGGTCAGATCCCTGGATCTGGCGAGATCCAGGGAAGAGGCACAACCACAGCAGACAGACAAGTCCTTTCCATGAACAGAGACTGAAAGCAGGCTCCAAAGGAAGAGTGCATTTGTAGGATGGATGTGGATCTAAAAGAACAAGCAAGTTAAAGTGCACTCGCATTATTTAAGCCTCTTCAGAGGAAGTTTAGTCCACTTCACATAGAGCCGCAGGCCATTCTGTCACCGTCCCTCTCTTCTGCCATCCTTGCCCCCTCCCCTCAGACGCCAGCCCCAGGCAGCTTTTCATCTCTGATGAGAGCAGGCGGAAATGCAGAGGGTCTGCCCGGAAGCCCGCGGTCCACAGCCATGAAACCTGTCAGAGCAAGGCGAGGGGCTGACTCACCCGGGATCCTGGCTTCCCGTCTAAGCCAGATGCTCCCTGTCATTGGGTTGGTAGCAGGGTTGGTGACACGAATGACAAGAACAGAGGTTAGTATGAAGAACCGGTGAACATATCAACACTTCCAACAACATACTGGGCACTCACAGGATTCTGGGGTGAATATCACATTGCTACACATTGTTAGTGTTTAAAAAACACATGACAATAAACATCTCACAGATGATGGCATTTTAATGACATTTCTACTAGGCAAACTCTTATTTAGAAATCAAGTTAATGAGGTTTATAAAATTGGCCAAAAAGTAGTTATTGGCAACGGTAAGAGGCTTCTGTCTAATTTCCATTTTCTTAGAAATTCATTTTCTTGGGGCTGTCATTCACAGGTTATTTCATTAGGTTCTGAAGAAAAGATAATTCTCTCCTAAGAATGGGCTCAGTAGAATAATCAAGTTTATCATTCAGAGCATTAAGATAGAGCCACAGTTACACTTTTTAAAGTACTGTTTATGAATAAATGCTGGGTTTTAATATGTTGGGATGTATGAACGATATTCATTATTTTCTGAGCTGTTCGTACAGTTCATGTTTGTCACCACTAGAGGGACTTCTAGGAACAGGAAAAACTGAGGCTTGAGACAAATCTTAACACGGATGCAAAAAATAACTCCCAAACTCAGTGGTTCTACAATTCCCTTCAAATAATCCTGGCACCAAAGCCTGAAGGGGAAATGCCTTCTCCCACCTGCCTTGCAAGCACAAGGTCCCAAGTTCAATTTCTGATACCACCAAAAAAAAAAAAAAAAAAAAAAA